AATAAGTTTCCTGGGCCCTTTTTAGTAACTTGGACCAATTGACATTGCTACTGTCATTGCTTGTGTCCAGCAAGCTAAGGTATAACATTGGGTATAATAGCTCCTTCTATAAAACTCCAGGTAAGTGAAACAGCATTTCATTTAGTTACTTTGTTCAATAAATGTAATTTGAAGTTATGTACAGTCAGAATCCATCCTGATTTTGTTTTTGAATTCATTCTTAACCGTTACTTAATATGTTACACTGTTGAACTGCAGACAACTAGTTTAAGACAATAGAATGGCCTTGAAGTATTTATACTGGATTTTGGTGCAACTTCATTTTTGCGCGGCTGTATCAGTGTCTGTTTTAACATGAGCTGAATTTTGAAATAGCTGCCCTTTCCGACAACCTGCTACCACTGAATTAAGTGACAATGAAAACTGTGGCATCATGGGCTCATCTGTGTCATATCAGACATGGGAATCTTCAAGTTACCACTAAGAATTCTTAAAAAATTTTTTTTGTTCGCTCATTGATAATAGGTGCATTAATGCAATGTGATGTACTACATTAACAAACACTTGCAATATTGTTGCATGTGACAGCTTTATTCTAAACCATGAAGTACATCTAACCACATATGTGCTATATAAAAATCACCTAATGCAATAAATTTTCTCTCTTTCACAGTTGAAAATAGTGAGCACTGTGACTTCACAATCTTACGAAACATGTTGATCAGGTAAGGTGGGCATGTTTGACTGATCCAGCAATTAGTACCTGATTTTTTTTTTGTTAAAAATGTGGCTTCAGCCTCATGTGACTTATTATTGTTAGGCCTTATTTTTTCCATGTAGGCAAAGCTAAAACAAACGTTTTGAATCAGTAGTGTTTGAAATTTGCCTCTGAAGTATTAGCCAAAGTTAGAAGTGCCAGAAGTTCTTCTAGATTTACATCTGCAATATTTGTAAATGCATGTCAGTCTGGTCCCTACCTGTACCAAGCATGTCAACCCTGGTCTGCTTTGGAGACTTGTTATATTTTTGATCTTGCACTGCTGCAGTGCATTGTTTTCAGGTGACCTGAATTCTCTCTCGTTATCTATTCAGCGGCAATGGTGTAACTTTTCTTCAAGATCTGGAGATGTAATAACCACTGCATTTTAAGAAAAAAAAGACATTTTTAACTTGTTGCATTTCAGCGATATTTACAATGGCAGCAAATTTGCTATTTCAAATAAATCTCAAATGATTTTTTAAAAACTCAAATCTGCGGATGATGTGAATCAAAAGCAAAAACAAATTGGAGACGCTGAGTAGGTCTAGCAGCATCTGTGGAGAGAAATCAGAGTTAACGTTTTGGGTTAAGTGACCCTTGTTGAGAACGAAATAATTTTTAACTTGTTCTTCACAGTTTTCATTTCCATTTCACACAATGTTTTATGAATTATACTGCTCCAGTATTTTGCTGAAGCATAGAAATGTACAGGACTGGAAAAGATGATTCTGCCATCCCAAGAGTTCAAATACAATTAATTGGACTGTATCCCTCAATTGATTTTCTTGCCAAATAGGTGTGCCAGACAGACATGAAACTCCTGTGCTGTCCATTCCATACATTCTGTATTCACCCTCTCAACATCTGATCTTACTATTTACTTACCTGCTCCTAAGATCCATCGCTTGCCCCATTATCATACTGGGGCCATAGTAAGCTTTTTTAGGTTCAGCCTGCCCATGCTTTTTTTTAACGTGTGTTTTTTTTAAGGTTTTTGAATATTTGAAGATTCATTTGTTATCTTCCTCTTGCTGTTTGTGAGCAAGCTCTGTTTACTTAGCCTCTGGTAGATTGGGCATCTGACGTCAAATAATGAATGGGTAGCTCTTTGCATCTATTGCGATACCAGGATGTCCTTCCTGGAATATTATACTGAGAAATACAAACAATACTCCCTAAAACCAATGAGCCCCATGTTGTCCTGTAATTTACACTACCATGCTAAATTGACTGATACCACAAGATTTGCAAATACTTTACTGCATCCTGTAAACTAGCAGGTATTTTCTCGTTCCAATGATAGTTTCCCAGTCTGATTACTGTTCTACAGAGCTATTAACGTTTGCAGCACTGAAAGCGGAAAATGCTGGAAATATTCAGCAGGTCTGTCAGCATCAGTGGAGAGAGAAACAGAATTAATATTTCAGTTCAATGACCTTTCAGCAGAACTGGAAAATTTTAGTTTTAACAGATTTTAAGGAAGCACAGATGTGGGAAGAGTAGGAAGAAAAGAACAAAAGGGAAGGTCTGTGATATGGTCAAACTAACTGATAACATGGAAGTGGTGTAAGGCAAGAGATGATAGTGAGACAAGGAAACAGAAGACGGGAACCAGAGAAGGTGGAAATCTGAATAGTATAATCAGCACCAAATGCTGCTGTCCAAAAAGCATGGCGTTAGCAGTTACCTGAAATTTATTGAACTTGGGATAGAGTGTAAAACGGCTGTAAAGTACCAATTTGAAATATTAGCTGTTGCTCTTCAAATTAGTGTTGAACTTCAGAACGTAACAGTTGCAACATTTAACAGACATTTGGACAGGTACTTGACTAGGAAATGTTGAGGGGGATGCGGGCTAAAAGCAGGCAAATGGGACAGTTGTAGTTTGGGAAACTTCGGCATGAACGAGTTGGACTACAAGGGTCTGTTTCCATGCTGTTTCAGTCTGAGATTGTATGATTATGACTCTGAATTCAGAGTGGGACATAGCTAACATGGCAGGTAATTGGGAGCTCGGAATTTAGGCTCAAGTTGAATGGAAGTGTTCTGCAAAGCACAAGTAACAAGTCTGTATCTGTTCACCCAATGTGGAGAAAATGGTATTTTCAGCAGCGAGTACAGTATACTATACTTGAAGCATGCCCAAGGAAATCACTGTATCACTGAGTATTTGGGATCTTGGATAATAGGCTTAGTTTCTCTGCCTGTTGCCACAGTATCTTAGATTTGCCCTTTTGTACATGCCTTTCCCCAACTTCCTCACCTCTGTATTTGTTTAAAACCTATTGTAGCACTTCCTGTTTCCAGTGCTGATCAGAGGTCATCAACCTAAGACATTAATCCTGTTTCTCTCTCTGCAGATGGTAGTTTCAATATTTCAAATTTCCAGCACCTGTGGTATTTTGTTTATGTTTACAACATAGGGGAATACCATTGAGGTTATTTGCCAGACTAATCCAACTGCCCTGATTTCTCTTCAGTCTTTTCTATTTCTCCTTCAAAAGTGTAGCCCAATCTTTACTTTGAAGCAGCATTGATCGCTGGTTCAGCCAATTCCTGTGGTAATGCATTCTGTGCTCCAAAGATCATTGACTCCCAAATTAGAAGAGATGGGTGTTTCCTTAGTCATTATTAAAACCACTATTCAAACACAGTTTGAACTTTTCAATTTTAATTTCTTAAGCCAACTTTCCAGTTCCTCAGCAAGCTTATGATGGGTTGAAAACCTGTCTCCCACCCAATGGTTGCTTGAAAATGTTGGTTGTTTTGTCTATGAACTTCTAAATTTTTGACAGCTTGAAAGCAACAATTGCATCTGCTAGTAAATGGTAACTCAGTACCCATTTTCTGCCATTCTGCCTACCCCATAATCAGTAGGCTTTTAAATGTGTGATGGAATGTGGGTGTCTTTGGCATGTAGGTGTATCTACTCTTAATTGCTACAAATAAGTAGCTTGCTAGGCCATTTCAGAGGGCATTCAATCACATTGTTGTGGGTCTGGAATCCTACGTTGCCCAAACTAGGTAAGAATGGCAGATTTCTTTCTGTAAAGAACATTCAACCAATGATGAGCTTTTATGAGAATGACAGTTTTGTTTACACCATTAATGGAACAAGCTTTAAGCTCTAAATTAGATCACTTGAATGTAAGTACGACCAACTGCTGTGCTGACATTTGAACCCCATGTCTTCAGATTATTATCCTGGACCTCTGGCTTAGTCCAGGAACATTGCGTGGCACAGTGGCTCAGTGGTTAGTACTGCTGCCTCACAGCACCAGGGACCCAGGTTCGATTCTACTGTCAGGCCACTGTGGAGTTTGCACATTCTCCCCGCGTTGGTGTGGGTTTCCTCCCACAGCCCAAAGATGTGCATGCTAGGCTGTTTGCTGTAGGAAATGCAGGATTACAGGGATAGGGGAGGTGTGGGTCTGACTGGGATGCTTTGCAGAGGATCCGTGTGCACCTGATGGGTCAAATGGCTTGCTTCCTCACTGTGTATGGATTCTGTGATTCTCACTATACCCCTATCCTTTGGACATATAATTAATTATCAATCCACTTAAGTACGTGCCATAACTATTCCTTGTGTTTCTCCCAAAATGTCCTTGCAAATGCCCCTTTGACCATATATTTTACAGAAATACAGCATTCCTTTCTCTGTTGTCCTTGTTCTGATAGTTATTTCATCATTGGCAGCTTCTTTTTGTATGTCATCTGCTCAGTATGTTATCCATGCATTCAGTGCAGCTTACATCACTTAATTGCAGTGCCCTTCAAATACTATCCTTCTTTTCCCTTTCCTCAGGGGCAGCATTAAGAAATCCTCTAATGCACAAAAATGTTTTGCATTGCTTTTCCTGACTGCCTGACATCATGTCCCCATTTAAGTTTAAGATACTCATTACCTTTTGACCCCTGCTATTTAGCAGTTCTAACCAAAAAGATACTCATTGTCCTTTGAGCCCTGTTGTTTAGGAGTAAAAACTACAAGGGATGACTTCCCTGTAACATGTTCCAAAATTCTAATGGCATGTTGCTACTATAATGTTCTTACATGATAGATTGCACTTTCATTCTGGAATCCTGCCATTATTCTGAATTAATTCCATTTGCAGTTGAGACTTTGCTTTTGCTTTTTTAAAGATGATTAAAGATAGCATTTGGATATAACCATCTCGTGAATGCAGCACATCTGATGTACGACTCATTATAACATTGCATAGCTTTTCTGTAAACTGTTCAGAATTTCAGCAAGACTACTGACTACCTTAAGGCCCCAAGAATGTCAGCTGCGGGCCTATTATCAGATGACATTGTCACTTCCACTAATGGGGTGGAATTACTATTGAATGAATTTGACAAGTCCAGTCAAACACTATATTATGCTATGGTGATGTAATACAATCAGTACCACCCATGGGAGTAGTTCAGTCGTGACCTATGCAACTTCATGCACCTGTTGAGGACTTTGACATCTTCTAGCAGCCATGCGTACAGTTCAGTGTCCGTAAACTACTGTCTGTCGCAATCCTGGAAATCTAAGTCATTTTATACTGCACTCTATCTTGACAAAATGAAATATCACCACTGTGTCTTGTTTGCAAATTTTCATGTCAAAAGAAAATTTTGTGGGGTCTTGTTCACATTTTCCAGTATCTTTTTGTTACCTAGCACTGAACTACTTTGGGGTCCTCTTGCTTTCGAGTGGTGAGAATAATGCCTTCCAGTTAAGGGGGAGGAAATCCTATCAGTCTCCCCTACTCTGTCCTGCATGTGACATGTTTCTAGTTAAGTGGCTAACTGGTGAAGCTTTTAAGCAAGATCTGCTTTGGGATTAAATGTTGCTTCGTCCAAATTCCAAGAACAAAATGATAATGCAGTCCCTGAGTCACTTTGTTGCTATAGCTAGCACTCAAGACTTGTTACCAAGGAACTATACCCAAATTGATCTCGTATAAAGCC